ACTATTCATTGAGTAAAAGCATTAAAAAGTAAATAAATTGCCTTTTTTTAAACTTTTCAGTAAAAGCAAATGGTATTCAATTCATTTTTGCCGCAAAGTTGGCAAAGTTATTTAAAAATTCTTTGAATTTGACGCCAACACRGGTTTTGAAATATGCGAAGTTATTCTGAATCCTGTTAAAAGTAAATGTTAGCTAATCTCATTGGTTGAATCAACGATTGTGATATAGGAAAGGGGCAAGAGGACACGAGGTCCCTTTCGAGGACCAATTCAATCGTATAACTATATACTGATACCAAAATATGTTTGGTTTAAATGAAACTGCAAACTAACACTGGCCAATAGAATAAGTCAGTACCTGTTTAATCTTAGACTTGAGGTTGGTAAGAACTGTTTCAACGGTGACATGAACGACAGCTTGTTCTAAGTTCTTTTCCTGATGACCAGAAAGTTTTATTAAGATATACGAGCATGACAGAAATCGTGAAATACATTTTAGCGTATTAAGCAGCACCTTACGATAATTCTTTTGTTTTCTATTGTCTTTTTGTTCAAGTGAAAACACCGCTCGTCTTAAGCGTAAGCACAACCCAAGCAAAAGGAAACCACTTTCCGATCCTCACCATTCCGCTACTGACGCGCTTCAGATTGCATAAGACATTGAACTCACCTCAATATCGATTAGCATTCTGCCGCGTATTAGCCTGTCAATTATCTGTTTTTGTAGAGCAGGCCAATTATACTCAACCAACGTACCATGGCCAGCTTGAATCGAATAACGACAGTGTGCCAGCACCAGTGGGATCAGATCTCGATCGGTATCGTACGACACCAACTCTGAATTGGTTACATCAAGTAACGAAATGCCAGTCAAAGTGCTGTGTAATATAAAAAAGGAATGTGATCAGTAGACTGCGCGTAGCTCTAACTTTCAAAGAACCTGATGAAACACAGGTAGCCCAATTAAGGTTCCTGTGTGTGGTTTCATTAGGGAATGCATGGGAGTTGGGATGAAGAAAAATAATAAAACGTTTCACTGAACAATTTGCTTGAAGTTTTAGTGGGGTTTGAGGCTATTTTTAGTGTGTTTTATCTTATACAAATTGCTCTATTTTCCCCCACTTGTATAACATATTTCATTCACTTACATGTTATCCAACTTCTGACTACAAAACTCAAGGAACTTATTTTGCGTGTCTACAAGAAATCGTACAAGATCCAAAGAAGGATTACCAGCGGCGCTGTTGGTGAGAATTGAAACTGGAGAGTCTTCATCCACTGATAGAATGGAGACTTCTCTTGCACCTAGAAATAATCAAATAAATATTCCGAATATTTTTTTTAGGTCATTGAACAAGGCTGAACTAAAATCGAGTCATCGCTTTTGGCTAAAAACGCGGGATCAGCTGCTTGCTATCAAAAAACAGGTTTGTACCGAGAAAGACAAACCAGTAGAGCATTTTCACTCACGTGACAAGTCAGCCATATTGGTGTACCAAACGATAGAAACTTTCTGCACGGTTTTTGCATAAAAATAAAGTTCAATTCCCTGAGGATAGGAAATGTATTGTTTTGGTACACCAACATGGCCGCTGCGACGTCACGTGAAAACGCTCCTTACGATCCATCTACTATTTTTTTTAAAAAGTTTACTATTTTTCCAGACTCCTTTCCGCTTCCTGTTACAGGTAAATTGATACATCATTGCGTGCATTTGTAGCGCGTACGATTACTTTCTTTTCTTTTTATTATTTGTTTGCCAGTTTCTAAATCCGCGACTTTTTGGTTGGCGTATTGACATGCGCATCACTACGTTTACATTGTATGCAGACTATGAGTAAAGATACAGCTAAACTACTAAAACTGGGTTTACCTTTTTCTGAAAGAGATTTGAGAGCCAAAGCTGAACGGATGCTTTGAACGAGTGACATTAGTTCCTCAGCATCGCCTTAATAAAAAATAATAATTAAGTGTCTTATTGTATTCTTCACCTGCCYTTGGGCAAATCTTTAAATAAATAAATAAAATAATAAATAATTATAAAAACTAAACATAAATAATACTACAAAAAACTTAATCGAGTTAAATTGATTAATCAATAGCCAAATCTGACAATTTTTCTTTCGACATTTCCTATGAAACTGTAAGTATTTCAGCAGACGAAAAATAACAGGGTAATTTTTTCTTGACAATTCTATTGATTTCCTTGTCCTGATTTGCGAAGTACTCGGTTTCCCATCGTGCTTTGCGCTAAAGATTCGTGCTCGTGCACATTGCCTATTTGAGCTTTGAACAGACTGGTTCCTTGGGTTTGGATGAGTGAGTATTTCTAATAACTAATAAGGTCCATTACAAACCTTTGGTAAGCCGTCTGTAAAATTTTCCCAATTTTAAAGTGTTTAGCTCCGTCTTATCCAAGGTACGATGGAAATGATCCAAGAGAAATCTTTGTAGCTTGACAACATCAGGAAGATATTTGATAGCGCGTAGTTCTTTTTCCTATCATATTAAATGTCTTCAATGATCACTCTTTTCCATCGACTACTATTGAAGAAATAGAAAACGCGCGCGCGTGCTGTTTGCAGTTATAAAGCACGCGGGGATTGGTAGAAAATGAGAGAAGTGTTAGGAGAAGCACAACGTGTAAGCACGGCAAGCACTTTTTCCATTTGTTTTATAAAAATACAAATTACAATAACCGCACGCCAATCAGAACGCGAGATTTATAACGCTTATTATAATTTATTTGTAATTTTTAATATTAAAATACCATGCTTTCTGATTGGCTTGCAGCAATGGTACAGACAACAGTGTTGATGTCAAACGTTTTGTCACCTGACCTTAAGGAAATATAGTTTACCTTTTTCAAGAATTCTTCTAAAACAACACAACCATTTTTTATTGCTTCGTCTGACTCGCTAAACGTCCGTATCACGTGACCTATGGTAACAGGGGTCCTAAACCTCCAAAGCGCGACACAATTTGGTTGTATTCCCTTGGTATAGTCCTCAACACTCGATTCCAGCTCGTATAGCTGGCAAAGAAGTGGATTAGAACCTGGAAAGGAAATAACGTTAGTAGAAACTTTGATTCCGTATCCTCAATTAGTGCGGTAGGTCGTGGGTTTAAGCCCCAGCAGGAACAACACTCAGGGTCTTAAAATAACCAAGGAGAAAGCGCTGCCTTTGTAATTACAACTACAAATGGTTAGACTTTCAAGTGACACACACTCCACACTCATCATTACTAACCAATATCGGAGGGACGTAAAAGAACCACTGAGGAAGTAAAGAAACCCTGGCAGTGACCACCCTCAGTGCTTACACCTCATACTAACAACCTCTCATGATTGTAAGCGCCTTTGAGTAATTATATAGACAACGGCGCTATAAACTAAAATCATAAAACCATTAAATGATTATAGTAAAGTCTGGAGAGTCAGCTAGGAGATTTGGTTTGCAAACAAGAGAATAGAAAATACCAATGGTAAAGTTAAGAATGCACAACTTCAACAACACAGACACTTTGAAATTCCACGGACCTTAACTGGAACACGTGAATATTCTACACAAAGTCGTTACTACCCCTGAGCAGCAGATTGAAACTGGAGTATTGTGACATGCATTCATAACAAACCACCGAGTACATGAAAACTCACCAAAGCGCTTGTCATTAACAATTAATTCCATTGTGCTCCGGATTCTATTTTCCAAATTCTAGAGAGAAAAAAAAAAAAAAAAAAAAAAAAAAAAAAAACGACGAAACTGAGTAACTATTGCATTTTGGAATTAAAGTTATGTCAGGTTTAAATAGATATTTTAATATCACGTACAGGCATGACAGGCTGAATTAAGTTCGTCGAGAAAAAGATTTCCCATTCCTTCCTCTTTTCCTTTGTCGGCAAGACACGATAATGACCTGGAGTGGGAAATGAGAACGCAAAAATAACAACAAAAATTAAGAAGCTTAAAGGTATGATACCATTTTTCTTGGAACTTTTAGAGTAATCATGAGGATAAAAGCCCCCTGTACGTCCTGCTGTTTTTTGTCGTTGTTTTTGCTGGGGCACTGATGAGACGATAAAGTTCAATTTTCTTAGACAAAATAAGAACGAATTATGGCTATGATATACCTGCTCGCAGGGTTTAAAATTAAAAATCTCTAACTTAACAAATTTTACACTGCTGATAAACCTCAAGTTGAACGATGTAACATCTTGGAATGACGGCTTACCTTTATTACTTTGAGCATACTCTGAAACCTCCTGTAAAACCAAATGCACTACAAGTGCTGTGTCATCTACGCTGCGTCCACTAGCCGTTGACAAAAGGCGCATATCATGTATGGCATGTTTCCATAGAAACTCCTGCAAGGATTCTACACGTACTGATGGTAGGATAAGCTGAGATATGCACTGAGAAGATGAGAAAAAAAGATGCTTATGCTTTGGACAATGGACTACTTAGACGATGCGGCGGCAATCTTGAATCACAATGCATTGTGGGTCATCCCGGGGGCAAATAGACAAACCTTTGTTGTAAGACAATTTAACAAGAAATGAATATGCAGAGTTCCCCCATGGGTGACCCATAATGCCTTGCGATTCAAGATGGCCGCCGCATTGTTGAAGTGATTCATTCGACGAGACTGAAGACTTTAGTTGTCGATATCCAACTTAAGATGCAGTAAACCAGAAATGACGGGCAACAAAATGGTGTTGTAATACTTTTCTATTTTACAATAAAAGATTCTTCCCGCGTGCGTTGATAATACGAACAGCATTTGCAACTTGCAACGCAATAGAAGTTTTTTAGTTTTTTTGCCCTTATTCCCACATCATTAAATATAGAAAACAGTAGCATAGCCGGCAGCACACGTAGTTGTAACGAGAATTTGTTTTATACCTGTGGGCGGTAACAAGAACCGATCAACATGGAACCATGAACTAGCAGGCGAAGAAGGCACTTGCCTAAAGGAGTCATCTCTCTTTCTGGGGTTGGATCTCTTTCTCTTCTATCAAGAGAACCAAGAACATGTCCCTTGCTTGTCTGATCATCGCTGTAAAAATGAGACAAAAAATAAAAAATAAAAGATTTTCAGGCAAAGGAGAGCACTCTTGAAATCTGCCAGCTTTGCAAATAATGTTTGAAACTCCAATCTGCTATGTCGTATTTTAAAATTGTAAGTACTTCCAACACGACACCACGGATTTATGTTTGATTTGACTCGTTAGTTCAAGGGCGTCCACATCGATGATGTTTCTGTTGCATTGCGAGATATTACAGGAATTGGACTGGACTGGTCAATGGTCTGGACTGAAAAGTAACAACAAGGATCTAAATGGATGTTTCTCGCGTACGTTCGTGCTGTTCTGTTGCCTGAAGTTAGTCTATGGTTGAGTCCACCAATTGCCTTCCCACAGCCAGGTTCCCTGCATCTGCTAGATTCTGTTGGCTTTCCGCACTGGAATAGCACAAAAAGAATGTCAAAAAATCAAATATGAAATATATAATTATACGACTCAACAGTGCTAACAGTTTCAATTTATTTCCGGGAGAAAAAGGAATGTTATCGAAACCAACGAAAACATTTTTATTACTGACGAGATATTCATCAGTGAATACTACAAACATTGTCCAGATGAGGTAACAACGTACATTCAGGGAGGTGTACAGTCTGTGAATTCGTACTATTTTATGCCTGACGTTCTTACCTCAGTCACAAGATAAGGATGACCATTTTCACATTCTTTGAGAAGGTAAATGAATAAACGTTAGTCTTTGAACAAGATTTGATTCTCATAAAACAGGGCCGAATCTAAGCGATAAGCACAATATTTTTAACAAATACATCAGGCTTAGCTATATATGTTCTGTTCCCTAATAAGACACGACTGGAGCTGTAGAACACGAAAAGTTATAGAAATCACAACCTTTTTTTCTCTACAGCATAAGGAGGCTCGAAACGGTTTTTCTAGTTCCGATGACGTAGAACTTGCAAAATGAAAATTTTGTCTTCAAAAATTCTAATATTCAAACCGAAAAAAATCAAAAACTGTGCGGTGAAATTTCTTCGAATTTTGCATACATGGCTTTGGCTTGTGTTTTCGAAAACTTAAGGAAAAGTTTAAAAAATTATGTAAGAGGGAACTATTCCAAACAAATGTTTTTGATTTTTAGGAATTCATTCTTACAGTTTTTTTTTCTATTTTTTGTCAAAAAGAAGATTACGATACAAAGTTTAGAATATTCCGGTTTTAAAAAAATTTCACCTATTGGCTCCCGAGTTATGATTTTTTAAGTGAACATTTTTGATGGCATAACAAGGCTCCTGAAGTTGTCATAGTAACGTCTTACGAATTTTTTTCATGTTCATGCATCGTGATCTTTGGTTTATGGTCTTTGGCTTTCCGGGTTTACGTGCTGTCGTATTATAGCCATATTATTATTATTTAGTTCATAATTGTGAGTGAAGGCACAAAACACTTTCCAGCCTCCTTAAGAAGACACATGATTACTAATTATACTTTGTGCGATTACTCCTAAATGTATTCCTGCTTACCATACAAAACACTACTGCCACCAGCTATTGATGCCCTTACATACTCTAGAGGGTCTTCGGGCATCGTTGGAAGAAACGAATCCTACCAAATAAATAGTGAAGAATGTAATCAACCATCTGTTTAACAAATCGCTCATAGATTTCCATTGTCTGTCCTCTTATTGAACATAGATAACGTCTCAAAACGTCAAGTGGAACAACGAGCGCAGCGAGTGGTTTCACTGTAAAATTTTTGAGACGTTATCTTTGTTCAATAAGAGGACAGACAATGGAAATCTATGAGCGATTTTTTACGATGAAAAGAAAAACTTCTAAATACGTTTGATGAAGAAGAAGAAGAAGAAGAAGAAGAAGAAGAAGAAGAAGAAGAAGAAGAAGAAGAAGAAAAACCGGATTCGAGCGCGCGCTGGATCCGTGCGCGAGCAGTTCGTCATTTTATTTGTCTGTCCTCTTATAGATCATAGTCGTAAGCCAATCAGATTGCGAGAATACGCTCTGTTATTGTAAAAATAAAATTGGAGAAATGTTTTCCTATCTCGATATTTGGGATTCCCTTAAAAAATGCTTATTTTTCGGAACGCCGCAATTATGAAAAAAAGGACGATCTATTTTAAGGCATGAACAGGAAGTGCGCACCGTTGGTTCCCTGGGATACTAGCCTCTTAGATGAAGGAATTACCCACGTTACCTAACCCACGAAGTTCAATCTCGACATGGAGCCATTGTTTCGAGGTCATTCAAGTGAATTCCTTAAAGGTCTATTATTAAGACACTTACGTTCATAGTATCAGGCCGTAAAGCAAGACTAACAAGAGGCCCCAACAGGTCATCATTTTCCCGCGAAAACAACACAGCAGCAAGATGAATGACAATCTCCAACACGCTCGTGTCCCACGGTGTCTTTCCAGCCAGAACATACATGCTTTTAATGCTGCTTTGGGATTGAGTTTCAGAAATAAGTTCCACTGCTAATTCGCGTGCCTATATTGTAAGAAAATCGAAATTTGTTAGTTGGATCCTAGCTCGATCATTGACTTTATTCAAAAATAAGTTAATAATTTTTTGAGTTTTTTTAATGCGCGTCGCCAATTTACCAACGTGTCTTCTCCCAGTGATAAAGAGAAGTCGTTAAGCTGAGCACTGTTGGTCTTTGAGAGAGCAACATCTGGTTTTTCAGTTGAAGGTCATCTGCTTACGACCACAGGTAGCCCAAGCTTGGTTTCTGTGGTGTCCTGTTAAATAATTATTTCTTACTGGTGGGGAAAAAAATCTTAAAACGGGCTAAATTCAAAAAATAACCACGCAGAGCAAAAGAAGTGTTATTTCTCAATGACCGGGTAAAATTTCAAGGCTTTATTTCACGTTTCAATGATTTTATTGAAATTTTTGGTGAATCTCCATACATTTCCTTATAACAGGACACCACAGAAATCAAGCTTGGGCTACCTGTGCTTACAACTGACGCTAACCGTGGTGCATACTACACCTCGTATCTCCATCATTGGTCCTTTGTAAAGGTACTTAAATAGGGATAATGAAGAAAGCAAGCAATAAATGCGAGCATAATAAAATCACTTTTATTTAAGTGTCTAGTCGTTCTAGCGCTTTCACACTAATTGGGGACACTTTTCACTCACACGCCCTACCACTACATTTAATATTCTATGCACACAACGCTCAACTCAATAGTTTCTGAAACCTCTACCTGCGGGCAAAAAGTACACTTTCGAGTTCTCGAAACTGCCCGTGATGCACACATTCTTTGTAATCTGATTTAAACTAGATAGGCCTTGGGCTTAGACCCTCACATTCGAGAACTTTGACGTTGGCTATTAATTAACCTACTACATATGTGCCTGATGATACAAACCTTGTTGTTTAAATATGCAGAGTCCTGAAGGAACTTTTCCAAATTTTGCCTTGCCTGATGTAAAATGTATAAAGGACAGCGCTGATTAAAAATCATCGAGAATAAATAAATATTGGGCTTTTTAGATCTGATAGTGCAAATCAGGACTTAAAGTTACAAAAACATCAAGAAAAATGAGAAAAACACACGGGCCACAAAATAGTTTTGGTTTAAAGATGCATGGAATATGAGGATCCGAATATAAAAGGCTTAATGACATTATGCTTAAAAGACAAATAGGCGCAATATGATCATGATTTATCTTACTATTGGTGTCACATGTCGATCTGCTGTAACCTCTTGAAATATTCCCAATAGCAAGACTGCACTTGCTCTTTCAACAGTACCCTTCATTTCCTGGTAACGAATACAGCGAATTAAATTAAATTCTATGCGTCGGCAAAAACATCACAAAATCAACTCAATTTTTACCTTCAGCTTATCCTCTACTCTGCTCATGTCTCGACTGACTAAGGATCTGGAGATCATTTCCCGCAGGTCCTGATATTGAATCCCATAGACTAGGAATCTGTCTTGCGTTACCTATTAAAAAATATCACTCAGTGCGCACGTTTCATTGATTAGTTTTGGGACTATTAATCGTGGGATGTATGAGAAGCACATCGAATGTTTGAAAATCGAAGGGGAAATAAACAGAAGATAGAAAAGGCAATGAGCAATAAAAAGCGAAAATTACTAGTAATGTTCAACGTCCAGCGATAACATGTCGAACTATGAGCAAAAACTAAAGGCGAATATTCAATCTTACTGTCGTTCTTCTCTACTCTAACCGAGAACATTGAAGTCTATTTTATTTTATTTTTTATATGTGTAAATATACTTTCATTTTTTCTTTCTCTTTCATCATTCCATCTTCTTGAATAGCTTTACGTACTTTCAATACATGTAACTCAAATTCTATTGTTTTCGATTTGTAATCTGATTGGTTGACAAACTGGAGTGTTCACGGTTAGAGTAGAACGACAGTAAGGCACACCATTGTAACAGCTTTAAGATCGGAAGAAAAGAAAAAAGGACTTCGAATCGATGCTTTGAAGCGTAAGCAATAGCATCTTTCGAAAGAAAAATATATATTTTCCAATATTCGAGGCAAGCTCAAAATAATGATCCAAAATAGGGACCCAATTTTATTAATTTAGGTGTCGAGTACGGTAAATACCCCCTCCCTCTTTAGAGATCTGTTGAAATGTTCAAGACTAGGTGTCTAATCTGACTTTCAGTTTTAGAGATATTTTTTAAAGGAATATTAAATCCAGGATTTCACGTCCAGAGATTGTGGGTGCCGGGTAACCCCACCCCTCCAAGTCGGGTCCTGTTAGATAGCAATTGTATTGACTTTATTTCTTCTTTATGACAACTCACCTTGACAGATGCTTTTGACTCAGGCGGCAAAATCCAATCGAATTCGCTATTTTGCGCCAAGTTGTTGATGGACTCAAATCCATACTTTCTGGAAAGCTGTTTGAGCAGAAACAGCCTAGGGGTTGATGTCACTGTCGACGGATCTTGCAAACATAATCTGCGTACTTCAGCAAGAAGCTTACTAAAGTGACTTTTCACATCGGGGTGTGACCATTTCTGTTCGTCCTGCTCAGATTGGCGTTGATAAATCAGCTCCGCAGTTAATGACAACACAACCCTACTACGAGCAATTCCTTCCAGCCAATTGATACTTAGAGCTTGCTGGCTATTCGGTTTTTGTCCATAAAACAAGCTGAAAGCCGTTTTGCAGTCTTTTGTGATAAGGCGTAGTTTCTGGTCAAGAGAAAGCTCGCAGGTTTCCTTAGCAAACTTGCCACTGATAGCATCCTGAATAAGTTGGGTGTTAAAATCGAAATTTAGAATTGCAGCATTGCTTGTTATTTTTTGGGTTATCTCTCGTAGGGATTATCATCGTCCAGTCACGTCTTTTAAAAAGACTAGGGCCCTCCCTCCCCCCTCCCCC